GGCCGGAGGTCCCGGGAGTCGTTGAGGCGGCTGCAGGTCTCTCCCTGCGGAGCCGCTGGTTCGGCGGGCGGGGATGTGACCGCGGGCCCTGCCGGCCTGCCTCGGGCGTCGCCTCAGCTCCCGTGTCGGTGCCCTCACCCCACACCGATGGCGGGATCCGGCTGCGCCTGGGGCGCGGAGCCGCCGCGGTTTCTGGAGGCCTTCGGGCGGCTGTGGCAGGTACAGAGCCGCCTGGGTAGCGGCTCCTCGGCCTCGGTGTATCGGGTGCGCTGCTGCGGCAACCCCGGCTCGCCCCCCGGCGCCCTCAAGCAGTTCTTGCCGCCAGGAACCACTGGAGCTGCGGCCTCGGCCGCCGAGTACGGGTTCCGCAAAGAGAGGGCGGCGCTGGAGCAGTTGCAGGGTCACAGGAACATCGGTAACTGCCGCTGCCTTCCTTCTTTTGCCCAGGTCCTCTTCCAAGCACACGCTTGTCTCTCAGCCTGGTGTTCCGCCTTCCGTCCTTTAGGCAGGAGGAGCGGGTCCGTCCCCTCATTGCCACCGATTCAGGCCCCTTTCCCTTTATTCCTCTCTGTGGTACGATGGAGTTGGTAACCTGCTTCAGGCCTCTTCCCCTTTCACTTTATTATTGTCTGTGGTATGATGGAGTAGGTAACCTGCTTTGCCCGGTGTCAGATAGTAGGTGCTCAGTAAGTTCTGCTTTGCTTCATGTCTCGTCGGAGAATGCCGCATTTATTAGCATAGAGAAATATCTTCTGTAATGAAAGGAGGCATGTCTTTGATAGATTGCCATGTCTTAATTTTGGAATCTTTGCATTCCACTAGAAAATGGGAAATATTTCTAGGGCTTGTGATAGCCACGCTAATAACTCATTGCCTGATAAATATTTCGTATGGATTTGGAAGAAATGACTCAGTATTACATAGGCGCTTTTGTGGAAGTGTGAAATTTTGGAACACTTTATACTTTTTCTTTCCCAAGACTGTGTTTCGTGACTCGGATATTCAGAATGTAAGTTATACCCGTATAGTGATAACTGATGATTGAACTATGAAAATAGTCTTCATTGTCATTATACCAAAAGAGAGCTTACCGTTGGTTCTAGCTTTGGCTGATAAAGAAATGTATTTCTTGGCAAGTATAATCCGTATTTAATTTGAAGAGTGACCTTTTTATAATACCTTTTCGGGGAAGAATTTCTTATCTCTATTGCTGCATTTTTTAGCTTGCTACATGGTGTATCACTGTAAGCTTGGTATTGAAGGAAAATTTTTGCAGGCTCATGGACTTATTGAGAATCTGCAAGATTAGGTTAAAATGTCATCTGGAAAGACTTAATCTCTTCTTTTAATATTAAAGAGTTTGGATCAAGAGGCAATCTTCAGTTTGGTTTTTGTACATTTCTTTTAAGTGAATAGCTTAATATTAAGATTTTCACTCTTAATCATTTTTGCTTGGCATCCTGAGCAATATTTAAAAACCATTGAGTACTTGGTGAAATACAAATTGAATCATTGTGCCATATTTAATATTTTTAAATAGTTATCAGTTGCTGGAAGGTCATCTCATTTTATTAAAATAACCTCGTTGCCAAAGAGCTTATTCCCATGGGAAAAGTAAATTATAATGGAAGCTTGACATCAAAGTTATTCCGTCTAGACTGTTCTAAATTTATTTTGCAGGGTTATCTACCTTAGTAGTAGCTTACTCTGAGTCTGATTTTTGAAATATTATAATTTGTTTCTTTTTTAGTGACTTTGTATGGAGTCTTTACAATCCACTTCTCTCCAAATGTGCCATCACGATGTCTATTGCTTGAACTCCTGGATGTCAGTGTTTCGGAATTGCTTTTATATTCCAGTCACCAGGGTTGTTCCATGTGGATGATACAGCATTGTGCAAGAGATGTTCTGGAGGCCCTTGCTTTTCTTCATCACGAGGGTTATGTTCATGCAGACCTCAAACCACGTAACATATTATGGAGTGCAGAGAATGAATGTTTTAAACTCATTGATTTTGGACTTAGCTTCAAAGAAGGCAATCAGGCAAGAAGTGATCTTTTCTTTTCCCTCATAGGCTAAAATCTAGTGGTCTAAGCCAAATATTTTAAAATAATGTGTAGTTTAGTAGAGACTTACAAGGTATTTCTATTTAAACACTGATATGCCTGAGAATGAAGCAAATCAAAAGAATTTTATTGGTGCCGTGTGAAAAAAGGTCATATGTTTTGGGTCAAGTAGGAGGAGTTAGTAAAACACAAGAGAGCTCTGAATTATTAAAAGTACTTAACCTACATAGAATGCTTTTTTGGTTTTAAAAGCACTTGATTAATTGCCGAGTTACTGTTCCTTGTGTTTTCATTGTTGGGGCTTTATCACATGGCAGAATGCATGTGACAATTCTGGCAAATCCTCTGTTTTCTGGTTTATCAGCTCTTTGCAGAATGTCCTTATTTATCAGCAGTGCCTAATAGTTAAGAGACTATCCAAAGAAGACTTCTTTAGGAGCAGCTGTATGGAAAATTACAGCTTGCTTCTGAAAACTGCGTAGTTAATGAATCAAGGAATTATGGTAACCACAGACTAAAAGTTTTTGGCATTTAGTTTGGCAGTGATTTACCGCACTTATAGAAGGGTAAATACACTGTAGAGATGGATGGAAAGTGAGCAGCTTTTTATTGGTTGTCATATTTACTCATCTTTAGGATGTAAAGTATATTCAAACAGATGGGTATCGGGCTCCAGAAGCAGAACTGCAAAATTGCTTGGCCCAGGCTGGCTTGCAGAGTGATACGGAATGTACCTCAGCTGTTGATCTGTGGAGCCTAGGAATCATTTTACTGGAAATGTTCTCAGGAATGAAACTGAAACACACAGTCAGATCTCAGGAATGGAAGGTAAACTCCATTTTGCTACGCTTAATCCCAATCTAAGAGTGTTCAGTTTATGATGATTCTTGTCAGAGACTCTGTTTACTTTCTCTCGTCCATACTCCTCTTTGTGTATTTATGGTGTCTTAAATGCCACTACTCACTCTTGTGGCTATACATGTGCTCGTGAGCATTGCATCCTAACTGTTCTAGCCTTGGGCCTGGTGTGTAGTAAGTGCTTGATAAAATGTTTGAATGCATTTTCCTACAGAAGCAAATGTGATTTCTTTTGTTTAACAACTTGGCTATATCATGTTCTAAAGTATGAAATACACCATAGCTTATACATTAAATAATCTTTGTGTAATGTTTTATAGTTAAAAACATATCTTAATATCAAAACCCAATAATTCCAAAATATTGTATTTTTTGTCAAGACTAAAGGATACCGACATCATCACAACATTGAAGCCCCAGAATGTTTGACAGCAGACTATAGTTAATTCCTGACTTATAAACATAAGAAGTTGACTCATATGCTAGAGGGTTGGAACTTAGATATTAAACAAGTATTTGATATTAAGTATTTTTATTTTAAGCAACAAGTATTTTTTTGAGCATCTAATACATAGTGTATAGCTATTAAAATATGCAGAGTTTTGTTTCTTTTAAATGTCTAGTCACTGATTTCTGGTGTAGTGGTTCCTAGAAGGAATACCTTAATAGCCTAATTGGTGTGCCTAATGCTGTTTTGGACAAAAAAATGCTGTCGTGGGAGTGAAATCAGTATCCTTCTTTTATCACTAGTATTCCCAAACAGTCAAGAGGCTAATAATAAGTATTCTTTCCTAGTGCTAATGCAAATATAAATCAGTTACTTGAATTCGTTTTGACTGTCTTTGAGCCCTTTGGACTGTATCTGCTTGGTCCAGAGTTCATCAAAGTTAGGTCATATTCAAATCTGTGTGAAATTTGGAGGATCCCCAATTATGCTTCTCTAGATAAAAAATCTTTGTTCTGTTTTATCACTTTGTATGTAGGCAAAATTGCCAAGTGGTTATCAGCATAGGCTCTAAAGTCAAACTGCTAGAGTTTATATCCTGCCTCCTTCTCTTACTAAGTTATCTATTTAGGTTCACTAAACCATGGTTTACTTTCTGTAAAATGTGGATAATAATTGCATATATCTTACAAGAGTATTGAGGTTAACAAAGAAGAAAGATACCTAGTTTTTAGCATAGTGTGTGGCCCATGGTGAATATTCAATACGTTTTAGTGATAATGATAGTATTAGGTCTTTTTACTCATGTACACAGTTCCAAATTCTGAGTTAGCATAGTATTCAAAGGGAAAGTGTTACGTTCTATAAAGATTTAGAGTATGGGTAATATGACAAATGGAGTGCCTTATTACTATCTCATTTTCTATTTGATAGTTTATTTTATTTCTGTCTGAAAACCAATTGAAGACTCCACTAGGATACCTTGACTCACCTATTCCATATTCATTTTCTCACTTTGCATAAACTACATCTTTATGAGGTTGCTTTTTTTTTTTTAAGCTCTTTCATCTAGTACATGTTCATAGAGTGCCAAGTACTGTGCTAGGTGCTAAGAATGAGGAAAAAATGTTCTTCCTCTTCAGAAGCTTATGATTATGTATATTATCGCCTACATTAAGATTGTAAGCTCTCAGAAGAGCTTGCATATCACCAAACAGTGCTATGTGCCTAAGTACTCGATAAATTCAGACTGAACTGAATAACCAAAGGAAGACTTTTCTCCTTTTTTTTAGGCAAACAGTTCTGCTATTATTGATCACATATTTGCCAGTAAAGCAGTGGTGAATGCCGCAATTCCAGCCTATCACCTAAGAGACCTTATTAAAAGGTATGTTACACATGCTATAAACTTGCTTTGCATAGATTTACTATATGAAGGGGGTGGGGTTTGCTGGTTTCAACTGAATAGGTTTATATTACTCCTTCTGGTTTGCTTGATCATATAGAGATCCTACTCCCCATTTTAGTTTAGGTTGTCTATACAAGCTAGCTTCCTATGAGGAACAAAAGTAAACCAAGTAGTTTTATGAAATTTATTCTTCTTATTTAAAAAAATTTATTTTCAAAGGAATGTTGTTTTGTTTATAGTGAGTAGCAAATGTTAATAAGCTGTAAGTGGCAGCGATTTATTTACTGGAAGATAGATACTGGAACACCAAGCCTTTGGCCCTGGCAGTTATACATACTTGATAGAAAGCAGATTTTTAAAGAGAGTATTAACTGAAGACCGAGTTGGCTTTTGGACTATTTCCCTCCCCCTAAAACCCCCCCCAAAGCCATTTTGAATAAGGTAGTTTTTAAAATTATACTTTAAGTAATTGCCATTGACAACTCTCTAGGGACATGTATGCTGTTTCTCATATCTGAATGGAGCTACAAGAGATATTTTGAAAATAAAAAATATATACAATCATATAATGATGGTAATACATTCTGAGAGATGTGTCATTAGGCAATTATGTCATTGCACGAACATCATAGAGTGTACTTACACCACAAACATAGGTGATATAGTCTATTATACACCTAGTATATTTGGAATAGTCCATTGCTCCTAGCCTACAAACCTGTACAGCATATAACCGCACTGAGTACTATAGGCAGTTGTGACATGATGGTATCTATTTAAACATAGAAAAGGTACAGTAAAAATATCATAAAAGATAAAAGTGGTACACCTGTATAGGACATTTAACCATGAATGGAGCTTGCATGACTGGAGTTGGCCTCAGTGAGGAAGTGGTGAGTGAATGTGAAGGCCCAGGACTTTGCTAAACACCACTGTAGACTTTGTAAACATTCTATACTTAGGCTACACTAAATTTATTAAACAATTTTTTTCTTCTATAATTTAACTTAGTTTACTATAACTTTTTTACTTTATAAACTTTAATTTTTTAAACAGAATATTCTGACTTTTTAATAATAATAACACTTAGCTTAAAACACAAATTGTACAGCTGTACAAAAATTTGTTTTTGTATGCTTATTCTATAAGCTTTTTTTCTATTTTTGCAAGTTTTTAGTTTTTAAACCTTTTTGTTAAAAACTTAGATATAAGCCAGGCTCGGTGGCTCAGCCTGTAATCCCGCGCCTTTGGGAGGCTGAGGTGAGTGGATTGCCTGAGCCCGTGGGTTCGAGACCCTG